TCGCCTTTCTTAGTTTCAGTTTCGATGAATCATTTTTTAGTTCAATATGATCAGGGTTTTTTGGAATATATTTTAAAAAGAATGAAAACTATACACATTGTTACTCTCTCCGATAATTTTTCGATTAAATATGTTTTAACATCAAAATAATCGTAAGCAAACTTTTTTTCTTTAATGAATGTTAAGCATTAGCAGCATGAAAAATAAATTAAGCTAATTTAAACACTTCAATGTCACATACAGTAAAATTACGAGCTCCAGTAAATGTAGCATTTCCTTTTCCAGTTGTATCGAGATATGATCCAGGGAACTCAGTGTAGTTTAAAATGTTCGAATTACTAGCATTTGTCAGGAAAATATCGTGACCACTTCCGAATGTAGGACCATAATCATGACGATGATAAACTGCGTATTGTGTCTTGTTAGGATTAATGATATACTTAGTTGGTGGAATATTGTGAGGATTAGTTAAAGTGAATAAAAATGCTGTGGCATCATTCCTGTATGAGTAATTATCTGAAGTCCATGGAATAGCTGTATAACCTCCGAAAAGATAATTATTCTTTGACTGAATAATCGTCATTGTCGGTCCTTGATGATTACAACGTGAATTAAATGCATTTGTATCGAATCCATTACATGATGCTTTATAAATCAATACCCATTGTTGATTGATCGTGCCATAAAATTCATTTAGCTTCTTCTTATGTTCTTGTTGTAGTAACGTTCCATTAGAAAACAGTACATCCGTTAATATATCTCTCAGATTATGTAAATGAAAATATTCGGCTTCTGTAATAAGAAGTCGACGAAGTGAATCATTGTTCCATACATCACTGGATATTTTATTTGTTCTTAAATATGCTAGGATATAGTTGAATAATTTTCCATCACGATCGATAAATATACTTTTATCATTAGAATCTCTTTCGAGGTGCCACTGTTTAGAGAAAAGTGCAGTGAAGAATGAATTTTTTTCACGTATTAATGTCTCAACACTTGTAGAAAATTTCTCGCCTCCGACATCAAGTAAAATTTTACCTTGAATCGATGTTGTTGCTAATTTAGCTTTGATATCTTTCCATTCTTTTTCTTCATTTGATGTATTAAATAATTTGTCTTCTGGGATTGTATTTATTTCTATTGTTTGATGACATAGTTGCTTAGCTGATTCAATACAATTGCTGTATTCATTTAATTTTGAATTAATATCTATACGTAATTTTTCATAACCAGTTTCAAGTTTATCGATATTGTCTCGAAGAACATTTAGATTTGAGTCTACTTTCTTTTTTTCATTAGCCATGCTTATTTTTTGAGTGTTGTGTTTTTTTTTGCGCTCTCTTACTTGTATGATTGAAGTCGAGTGAAAACTTGCCTGTTCTCTTAACATCGTCTTATCGCGATTGATGTCGTCATACAAAAGCAAAAAAAAATAGAAATCTGTTGATGATTCATAGAATATCAATATTTAACAGCGCTACTTGTTCTTACTTACGTTCTCAAGAGTGCACTTACTCTTACTCACTTCTTTTTTGGTTCTTTAAAAAAAATCAATCGTTGTGCTGTGTTCTGCTTGAAATGCACTAGAGTAGGTGTGAGTGTGTAAGATGAGAGAATCATATCCACACTCTTACCCATACTCTCTAACTTATTCACCGGCCATACTTATGAGACGAATTATTCACGCAACAATGAAATGACAACATAATTATGCACGATTTCTAAGAGAAAAAGGATTTACCATGAATCACCTGAGCATGGCTGGTGAATAGGTTACATATTATTCGATACAAAATTTAAATTCGAATATGGTACACATGTCTATATTCATCGACCATGCTTAAGTGATTCGTGGTAAATTCCTTTCTCTTAGAATTCGTCGATAGTACTGTGGGTACTCCATTGTTGAGCAAATAACGCTCATCAGTATCGTCAGCGAATAGGATAGGTACTCATCAATAGAGAATCGAATGCAGCATCTGTTAGACATGTTCAAATTCACCAGACATGCTCGAATGATTTGTGAAAAAAAAAGTTGTCCTTAGATCCGCACATCGACAATGGTGTGTTCCATCAAGAAGATACTTTGGATTCGATGTTTTTGTTTGATGTTGGTCTGAAAGTTCCAGCGCATAATAATGCACTGAGAATTTATTGATTATTGAAATGGAAAAATTACTACGTAGTTGAAGAAATTTAGTTTTAGTTTTTAAGAATGCTCACGGATGGATGCTAAAAATGTGTATGGGATGAATAAAATGCGGTGATTATTGAATGAACTTTTCATGTGTTTTATTGCATTGCTAGGATTGCCATGTCCAAAATACATATCCTCTACAATGGTAGTTTTATTCTTTCAATTTTCTGATTAGTTCATTTTTGAAGCCATGAAGCTTTTTGTGTTGTCGTCGTCGTAATTCGTCGTGTTGTAATAGCTTCTCATCGATGACGAAATCGACCTTCATACTATCAGTATTTATCTTCAACCGTCAAATACTTTATTGAATAATTTGTTTTTGAGTGTGGCTGTGGGTGTTGACCTGGCAGCAGAGTATATTAAGATCCGCATCCACATTCTGATTGTAATTTAGGTTGAAATGCTTGGTCGCGTACTTTTGAAATTCAAAACAATGTGATTTATCTCAAATGACTACACATAGATTAGCTTGAGAAGAATATTCTAATGCATTAGGTTTAATTAATTCTGGAATAAAACTTGTACTTGATCCAACTCTTCCTGGATCAACATTACTTAATGAATCTCAAACGTTATTACCCATTGTTAATAATAATGAAAAGTCATTGAAAGTAAAAGATAGTGTTGCATTTGTAATAGGTTCTTCTCGTGGTATTAGACGTGCTATTGCTATTGCTCGTGAAGGTGCCAAAGTTATTATTCATCGTACAACTCATGATAGTCCGAATTATTTAAATGAAGGTACTACAACGACAAATCCTGCTCAAGATATATCAATAATAACTGATAATACTTACATAACATCTGTCTGAAGTGATTTATTAATAAAACCGTTCAATCTGTTCTTAATCATATTCAATGCCCTATTGATATTTTAATTTGTTGTGCTGAAGGAAATATTGATTCAACTAGATTTAATATAACATATGAAGGTGAGCCATCTGAAGATACCTGTTTAACAATAAGTGATTCAGATATAAAATCGATTTTAAATCGAAATTTTTGAACAACATTTTATTTTTTCGATCAATTGTTTTTCGCATCGAGGTCATGTTATTATTGTTGGTTCTACATCAGCTTTACGAGGAAGAGAAAAAGATGTTCTTTATACAGTATCAAAAGCAGCAATCCATCAATATATGAAATGTTTAGTAACTCAAGTACAATCATCAGGTATTCGAATTAATTGTATTGCACCAGGAGCAACTTTAACTGAACGATATAAATGAAACATTGGAACAGGTCAGAATATTACCAATAGACTAGGATATATTGTCAATGCTTTTATTCAATTACTAAATATGAATTTTGTTCATGGACAAACTATTCGTATGAATGTTGGAGAATGAACTTTTACTTCTTAAACATAATACCATACTTCTTTATATGTCAATAGTTACATTACTATTTTAAAACTTATTTAGATAGTAAATATTAGTGAACATGATGCTTTACTAACATGAAATTAGAAACTAAAAGTGTAAATATTATATCAAAATATTATTAGACCCAATAACTATTGTTTGTGACAGAATTAAAGAAAAGTGCCATGTCAATAAGTCGAAAATAACTATCTGTAGTTTTCATCAATCAAAACACGAGAACTTCGGATACTTTTTTGTTTCGTACTACATCGGATAAAATTATTTTAAAATTCATCATCTTCACAAAACACTTAAAAGCATGTCTAAAAAAAGGTTCGTTTCAAGCAAATTTTTCCTAAGCAAAGCTAAAATTTCAATTTTGTCCAGACAAATTTCGAACTCACCTTTAACATGTATATGAGAAGAAAACACAAGGTTAAGTCGAATTGACATGACTTCAATCTAGTACCTTGTAGATGCATATAGTTTCAGCACTTGTATTGATCTCTTGAACACACCTTTTCGTCTTCAACTTAATAATCTTCTTTGAATATACCACGAAAAATTCATTCACATCATAATATCTATTTTGTCTAGTAGATTTCAATAAAATTGAATAAGTTTACAAAATTTTAATTAAATAATAAATCAAGAAAATATCAACTGGTGACTGATATTGACTTTTTGTGAAAGATGATCTAAAACCAGTGTTGAACTAAATACGATAGAGATTTGCATTAATTCTCTCTCCTAAAAACTGTAAAAGATGCCTTAACAACTTCATCCTAGTGTCCATCGAGTACGTTGTTTATATATCATCAAAAATCGTATATCACTAACGTTTCTGTATCATCATAAGATTATATCCTTATTAGATCTCTGAAGCATTGAGTAAAACGAAAATAAAGAGGCCTACTGCAAAACAGATAGATTAAAACAATCATCGTCTAATTAGCAGAAGCGACTACATCTTCGTTTACATTTTGTTCATGCACAAATTGTGCTAAAAGTTTTATTTTATTTCAATTACAATATTACGAAGAAACAAATAAGTAACATTAAAGATAGAATTCCCACTAAAATGCTTTGATTGTTATTCAAAGTCTTTCCAATCGAAAGAAAATATCAACTTATTATATAGATATATATTGATTATTACTCTATATTAGTATTAATCAATCAAAAAGTATGTTCGTTCGATTGTCTTTGCGGTACAATGTGCTGCTGTTCAATTCATGTATTGACTATTCCTATTGGTCTAATGCGAGTTTGCGCAATTCGAATAACCCATAGCATATTCCAATGGTTTCTTCTCAAACGTCGTCGTACTCCCGATAAACCAACAAGAGAAATAAATGGTAAAGCAAGTGGACATATATAAAAACAATAAGTCATTACAAGGGTTATTACATTTTGTAAAAAAAACGGATCATAAAATAGACGAATAAGTGATATAATGACATATGGTATCCAAATAATAAAGTACAACATTGAAATAGATGAGTTGTACATACATCAAATGGTATTTTTTCCATGTATTTGCTTGTTTCATTGCTCGTTTTTGGTATGTAAAACGTAATAAAAGAATCATATTAGCCATTACAATCAACATAATAGAAGTAACTAAATTAAAAAGATAATCTAGAGTACCTACAATTGCTTGATATTGAAAACATCCTCCTCCACATACATATGCATCATAATCATAGACATTCTCACGTGGATAGATATTAACCAACACACTATAAAGTATAAATGGATAAATAAAACAAATGAGAATTGAAGGATAATGAATAATATAACGCCATCTATATACATGTCTTTCGTGAAAAATAAGAAAATATCTTTCAATAGATCCAAATGCCATCAAAAAGAAACCAGCATCAGATTAACCATAAGAGTAAGATACCCAAAATGAACAAAATTGTGCACTTTTAGGTTGAACTTGACCATGATCAGAATACACCAAAGTAATTGGTAATTCAGTAGTAATAAGAATGAAATTGAACAAAAGAAGAACAAGAATTACATGATTATGAAGATGTTTATGACTACCTTCTCGTGTTTTCAGCAAATGGAAGGAAATAAGTAGAAAACAAATTAACGATGGAATCAAACAAATGATTAAAAGTATAGAACGCATCAATCGATATATGTATGCATCCATAGCCGTAGAATATGAGAAAATGACATGTCCCCTAGAGAATGTACTGAGTTAAGGGTACCCGAAAAAGTACCCTGTTACCAGTATGTCACAGGAACTTTTGGGTACCAAAGTACTTGGAAGTACTTTCAAGTACCTAAGTGGTACTTTAACAAGTATCCTGCTACAAAATGTGTAGTAACTGGGTACTTGAAGGTACTGATCAGATACTCAATTGAGTACTATTGTATAGTATTTCTAAGTACCCTGTTACAAAAATTTCAGTATGTTCAGGATCGAACCTGACCTTTAACTTTTTTAAATTTTTGTTTCTCTCAAAGCAATTTACTACATTTTTTTTTCGATTTTATTCAATTTAATTTTTTCAATTCCGAAAACTTAGCAGGTACAATCCCGAGATCTGATCCGACTTGAGTTGGTCAGGTATCCATCAGACCACTTCGGAGTAGTCCGTTCTTAATCTACGATCAAGATCGGCATGTTCTCGACTAAGAAATAGTCAAGAAATAATCTAAAAAAAATTAGTATGAAAATAGATTAATTTCTTATGTCTTACTCAGTTGTTTATATGGAGCCGTGCGTGAAAAAGAAAACGGTGAATGAATAGTCGCTACACAGAACGCGACAAATATAGGGTACCCTGTATAGCTTGTCTCAGTAAAATTACAGATGCGAGTACTCATACAAGTACTTCTTAAGTGAGTGTACTTTTATCGAAACCACACTCAGTACCTACATCAGTATAATTACTGAGAATTTTTGAAGTACCCATATTGGGTACCCTGCTGGACCTTTCTCAGTACATGGGTACCCTGAACTCAGTACTTTCTCTAGGGTCTTATTTTGAACTCCTGTAGATTAAATAAATGGAATTAAACTATTCGATTAAATCAAGATATTACAGAAAGTTTAAGTACCTGTAAATGAGAAAATATTTAATTGAAGTCTATTTATAACATGATGTTCATGTCATATACATCCTTGAAGATATATGTGACTTTCGTTGAAAACTGTCTGTGATTGGAGGTGTATATGTGTGTTATTCGTCAACAAAAATGAATGTTTACAAATAATAGGTAAGTCTAATTCTTTTATTGAAATTAAGATTGAAGAAGTCGATTAGAGAATGAAATTTAATGTCACAGTTATAATAAAACTGTTTGAAAGTTTTCATTCAAATTAAAATGTTCAAGCGAAATCAGTCTGAGATGTAGTTTCAGTCCGGAAAAAAAAGCTGAATAGATTATTTTCCATTATTCTGTGATAAATGATTGCTTAAGTCAATAGAAAATTCAACATCTTACATTAAAAACCTACCAGAAGGATAATGCATAATGAGTTATGGTTCGGATTAACAGTCTTTTTTTATTCTTTACACTACTCTACCTACTACTTTTCCGCTCACTAGTAAGGTACAGCTACTTGTAAAAAATTATCTTTGTGTTACAACACTTATTTTGAAGCATTCTTCAGTTGATTGTTTTAGTTCTTAACCTAATTAAATTTACAATAGCTTTTTCTTGTAATAAGAAAAGCATATTCTTGTCTCCAGGATAAAATCAATCTTTGATCGTTAACAAAAATCGTATAAAATTTTAATATCATAGGATTAAAAAGCGTAGTAATCTTCGTATACAAATAATTCAGCATTGAAATTCTCTTAATGATTAAAACATTGATGACATCAGTAAGAAGAATTTTATGACGATGAATCTTTTAGAATAGATCAACGGAAAACAACTGCTAGCGCAATCTTTATGGGATTAAAATGTGCAAAGTGATCTAATTACTGTTGCTAGTTATAGGATATTCTTTTATTCTACCCAAAAATTCAAAAGTATTTGAACAAATAGCAAATCCTATTAGACCGTTTTATCGATTTCAGAGCTAATCAATTTTTTCTTTAGAAAGAGCGATGTCTGAACTACAAATTTCGTAGAAGACATATTTTTCAAAATCGAATCTGAGAAGAAGGAAAAGTTAAAAACTAAACATCTCGAAAAAAAAGTTCTTACAACGCTTTTGGAACTAGAAGAATCGTGAAAAAACTGCACGAGTATGCAGTGTATCAAAAAACTCTATCGATATAAACTTTGAGAATTTTTCGAATCTATTCTTGACGCTTTAATGAGAAACATTTGAAAGACCAATTTTTTTTGCATAATACATTCTTTTACAAGAGTCATCCATTTGCGAAAATAGTAGACATCATCTTTAGCAATCAAGCACGAACTGAATTCTTTTAGCGTTATTTGATGGAAATATCTCTAATCGTAGAGTTTTAGCAAAACAAAATGCAAACAGTATTTTTCATCATTGTGAAATGGTCAAGTAGTGAGAACGATTGGATTATTCCGTCTCTTCTAGAATAACCTACTATTTGTTTTAAAAACCAAGAATCAACTGAGTTTCCTATACACCATTACAGAGAACACTCTTTACGTTACAAATATCATCATTAAATTACTTTCTCATTTTTTTTCTAATATAAAAAAGAGTGAATATGGGTGTCGATGGATGAGTGTGGGATTCAGTTTTAGGATTATTTATACCCACACTCACATCCACCCACACCCTACCCAATATAAGTTTTTTTTGATGTCATATGCACTTCTTACAACTTGAAAAATAATTATTGAAGTATTTAGTAGCTTAATTTAGATCAAACTTGAATGTCATCCTATCATTATGCTCAAGTGGAGATCTACCGTCGAGTACTTCTAGCGTAATCTTGATAGCTGCTGTTAAATCACATGAAATTCGAAGTTAGAAAACTTTTTACCTGCATCAACATCTCTCTTAGAAGTCTATGAAAATTACCATCAAGCGTATAGTTTTAATAGTTTGGCTTCTTTTCTAACATCATTGGTTGGATTTGACCGTTTTGGCGATAACTCATCAACGTATTCTGTTGAAATCAATAGCCAAACTAAAGCAAGCTTATTTTTAGTGATTGTTGGATCAAGTGGTATAATTTTTGACAAATAAATATTGTATACACATTGGTACTCCATTTTTTATTTTAGCTTCCAAAAAGTCTAGATACATACAAAAAGTGTACGATGCAATAGCAACACCAGAAAAAAAATCTTATTAAGACAGAAAAATACAACAGAACAACTTGAATTAGCTGTATTTTCTTTAAAGTACAAAAGCATTGAAAACTTGTCAAAACCATTCGCAAATGATATTTTACGAAAAATTTTATTGAACAAACATTATCATATCCGAAAGCAATGCGATCCTTAACAAAATCAAATGGTTTTTATTGTGCACCTGAGCGTGATTTTATCCTTGATCAACTTAACCTTTTCGACCGCGATAAAGACAATATTGCAATGAGAGGATGTACTAGTGCTATATTCGATGGTTAGACGATTACAAGATCAAATTATCATGGTCGCACTATTATCGAAAACAAAACTCGGTGTATTGGTGTTAGTTCAATAGGTGCCAAATGGTTAAATATTTTATTACATTTGTATGATAATTTAACGGCAGACGGTGTTCATCGAAGATTTTTGTTGCATTGTGTAGAACCAGCAACAACTATTGATGGTTAGTAAAAACTTGAGTGTGGGTGGATGTGGCTGTGGATACAGGTGGATGTAGGGTGTGGGTGCGAGTGAAGAAAACCATCACAGCCACAGTCACAGCCACACTGTGTTTTAAATGTCTTATTATAATCAAACATTGAACGTTTCAAGAAAACTGTTGTGGGACATAAGCATGATAGGCAACTTTTTTTTCTTTTGCAAATGAAATTTGCTTGATGAATTTAGATATTTGAATATCGTTATCTGGTCGAGATTAACTAATAACAACATAAATAGATATTAAGAAATCAATTTATACAGCACCTAACTTTCGAAATCCAATTCGATTTTAACAATACCAACTACTTGTCGATTATTTAATGTACGACGCAAATTTAATTCCATGGTGAGATAATAATGGTGCGCCTAAAAAGGCTATATCCCGCAGGTAGTATACAGCTTTATAGTCACTATTGGTGATCTCATTGACAATAGCCAAAATAGTTTGTTCTCTTTTGATAATGTCATCAACAACATTCATCGGATAGAGTCAAATAAGACGTAACAATAGAGCAACATGAGAGGGTGGAATATATTGAAAAAAGCTCAATAAAAAAAATTGTGTTGGATTTTGAGATATTCATTTTAAATAAGCAAAATTGATAATCTAGAATATATTTGCATCATCGTACATATTGGATCAAACGAGAATTATTAAGATTGAGTTCATTTTATTAAACATAAAAATTTTCTCTCTGTAATTTCTGATAAAAGAGCAAACAAGGGGCAAAAAGAAAAATATAGAGAAACAGTTTAATACAATAAAACGAGATTTTGCATCAAAGCAATGATATAAATCATATTATAGAAACAATAAACTGAATAAAGTTTCACTGACAAAAGAAATAATAAAGAAAAATACGAAAGATTGACGACTATTGGAATAATGACCCAAGTTCTTTTGTCATGAACAAAAAAGAGATAATATACGTTGTAGTAGAAATTGAAATTCAGTAGAATTTAAAATTCTACTAGTAGAAACTGAAATTTTGTTTTCTACTAGGAGAAATTAAAATTTCATTCTCTACCACAGGAGAATTTGAAATTCTACTGAAAACTTATATTATGCAAGTGTTTTAATTTTTACTGTAGTATAAAATTAAATTCCGTTTATAAGGATAATGACATCTCAAAAAAAAAAGAAAAAAGAGTGAGATGATATTGTAGGATTGGATACTAGTGCAAAGGAAACCGTGTCTCACACTGTGACTCATCCATACCCGCACAATTGCTAACATCTCTCACCGAAACTGACACTCACACACACTTTCACACTGATTTAACAAAATGTGGTTTTTTGGAACTAAGTGCAATTGATTCTTAAGCACTACCAACACAAATTTATTCAAACTTGTAAAGATCATGTTCATAGCAAGTTTAATCCACCTATAGAAGTCTCTGCTTATAATAGTGATTATGCTGCAACAAAGCTACAAATGCTAAATAGCCAAAATACCGTATGGTACAAGGCGTCATGCTGTTAAAACGAAATGTTAGCCAAATAAATAGGTGTTCACTTTTTGGTATATTCAATAATTTCTTGTGCTGCTCTCTATGTTACCAATAAATAACATGTGCTTCTGTAGATCATCATCAATAATAAAAAGAGTATTTAAATGTTTACTGCAGTAGAAATTTGCATACTTGCATAATATAAGTTTCTAGTAGAATTTAAAATTCTCCTATAGTAGAGAATGAAATTTTAATTTCTCCTAGTAGAAAATGAAATTTCAATTTCCACTAGTAGAATTTTAAATTCAACTGAATTTCAATTTCTACTACAACATATACATATAATATATACAATGAAAAAAAGCACGCATAAAGATAAAAGAATAAAAAATAAATATAGATAGTTGTGTTTGAATAACATCTATACGACAAGGATAGACATCCATTTTTTCAAAGCAGAAATAAAACATGAACTCGAAATAGGTACAAATATGCAGACAGCGGTCGTAGATTCAAATACCATCTTGATTATTAATCGTCATCGGCAAATCGTTTTGACTTCAGTTGTCGTTTTGGTACTATTTCATCATCTGATTCATTTTGTCGTTTAGCACCAAGGCGTCTTAATTCTTCGTTTGTTCGTTGCGAAGCGGTCAATTTTGGCCGTGACCGATCAAACAAATCATGAACTAGATCAAGAAAGGAAAATAATATTAAAAAAAAAGAAATATAGGATAAAATATAATCTTACCATCATCACTCGATACTGTAGCTAAAGTTGCCATAGACAACCTCATATTCGTATCAGGACAAATGACTTTGTTTTGAAAATACATACTAATTTGTCCTTCCCTAAGTTTATCAAACCAAAGACGATTCAATAGCCAATTATGATATACTGTGTTAAACATATTGTTGGTAACTAAAGTTGACATAGATAACTTTGCACCATTAAAAACCCTATCAACATATTGATCGAATGTAATACCAACTTTTTCTCGGAGTTTCATTTCAAAAGATACTATTTCAGATACTGATTGAGAAATTGGAAACATTTTCAAATAGCCAATTCTAGATTTAAATGCTTTTTTAGTTCGACTGCTTGATAAAAATAAATCGTCAATTTGCTTAATGCATCCATGTTCTTGTAAATATCTAATCACAACATTCTTTGTTTTAACATTATTATATAATCGAGTAACATCTATCTTCGTAAATGTAATGAAAGGCTTAAGCATAAGCTTTTTTGATAATGCAATAATGTCTAATTTGAGAATGAAATGAGATAACGTCATATATAACATTAATAACACTTACTAAATTTTTTGGCTGATTGAATATTCTCTTCCTTGAAACTTTTTCTCAAATCTTCTGATGTCCTGGTATGTCTAGCTGACATCATCCAGACAGATGATGATGTTTGAAACTTTGGATCAGAATCTAATCAAAATATGTATGACCTTATTCATGGAAATCCTTTAGTTTTCTTACCGATTTTCATAGAATCAGAATCAATAGTTTGATGTTTTTTGTCAATATTATATTCAATGATGATTGACGAGGATGATTTAGAGAAACATTTCTAAAAACATTACTATTTAGTTACTTAAATTTAGCCTACAAGCAACAAAAACCTTGTGAGATTCTTGTTCATTACATAAATTGTGATTGATATCGTTGATAATAATAGAATCAATTTTTGAATTATCAAATTCAATAGAACTAAAAGCTGAATAGAACAAAAGCGATTCATATCTTATCTGATAAATATTCCATGTACCATCAGATATTTTGTTGTCATTTGTTTCAATAATAGAAGATCTTTCATATGATAATCTACTATTTGATGTAGCTTGTGTCAAGTTATCAAAAATTTCCGATGAGTTATCTAAATTGATAAAGAGCATAATAATTAAAAAAGTACAAATAAAAATGTACGATTTTCTTTATTATTATTAGTCAATTGTCGAAAAGCTGTAAGACCATTTGGAAACGTGTCAATATTGTTAACATCATTTTCTAAAACTGAATGAAGAATATCAGAGCTCATTTTTCGTATAAATCCAAATGTTTTACTAGTTTTTATTTTTTCCAATACGAATATGCAATCATCAATGCCGTTATTATCGATATTAGATGTAACCAATGTAGAATCAACTAAATAGGAATATACTCAAAGAGGCAATATACAGCATAATTAGGAATACAATGAAGTTTACTTTCTTTAGTTGATAGAAATTGTTTGTGTAATATATTTGTTTGATTATATTCATTTGAAAAAATATCACTAGAATTCATAAAAGATGTTTTTTTTGTTTGTAATTGATTATAATCATCAACAAGTGGCATAAACAATTTATTCACGCGCGAACTCTTGCCCATCGAGGCGTTATTTTCAATCGTCGACGATGTAGTGCTATTCAATAAACCAATATTTTGATCGTTTGCTCGAATACACAATCTGTTCAATTGCTTCATGATTTCATCGTCATTATTAAAATAAATAATATGTTCAGGTGACAATGAAAATGTATTCGAATGAAAATCAATACCAATATGACCATTAAGCAGACCAGGTTTTAGTATTTCTTGAGCAACAGGATCTTTTGCTTCGCCCAAACGATGTAAAATTGAAATATAATCAATTAAATGTAAATTAATATGATTGATTGCTGATTTTTCAATTTTTGCTGCAAGTTCAGGTGTAGGCAGATAACATTGCTGCCACAACTGCTCGTAATCATTGATATTCAAATTTAATTTAGCCAGTACTTCCATTGATAAATTATTTTTTCTGATTTGACTTGGTGGTTTCATGGTATAACTTGTATGAGCTCCTTTAGTAAAACGATTTTTATTAGAAGCTTCGTATATCAATTCATTATCAACCAAATATTTTAATATAATGTTTAACCGATCTCTTCGATTATGAAATTCTCGACGATGAACAAATGTCGATACTGAGAAAAAGATAAATTTAGATAAAATAATGATCGAGGCATCAGCATATATTGAATATTCATCATCAGGACTTTCTGATAATCTATAGTTTTTATTGAGTGAAAAAAATTAGAAAAAAAATATGATGCTATTCACGTACTTTTTCAAGAAGCGAGATGTTATTGGTGAAGGATTGAACTTCTCTTGAATTGGTGATAGATCAAACAGTTGTCGAGATATATAATCAACGTGACTAAAGAATAAATCACCCATGATAGCCGTATCTTTTTCAATAATCAAAATTTTGGTGCCATCAGTTTTACGTAAACTTGATGGAAATACTTTATCGATAACATTTTTGACAGCTTTAATAAAGTGAGTCGATACACGATATGGCGGCTTCACAACGTCTGATATTTCAATAAATGGATATACATCATCATGCCACAGAATATTCATAATTGATCGAAAGCGAGCAAAATTACATATGAAACTGGAAACAAGAAACAAAAATATTAATATAGATAAAAAAAGAATAATCTACCGGGGAATTTTAGTTGAATTTTTGAAATTAATGATGGCTTCATGTTCTTGTTTTTCTGTTAATGTTGCTTCTTGCCATTGACTGTAGACTCGATTAAACATGTAATAAAAGGCACTTTTACTTTGTTCGAATGTAGCATCGACTTCAAGTTCTTCAAGTTCAACTTTAATTTGTGATGGTGAATGACAGTATTCCCGATTGGCCATCGGTCGCAATCGTTTCCATTTATCTTCAACGTCAGCATTAAATATATCTTAGAGAAACAGTAATAATATAATCAAAGGCAAAAAACAAGTTTACTCATTTGTTTTTTTTCGGATTTATCATATATATTTTGTCGTGCCACATATTCAATTTTTCCAATTAGTATGGAAACTGTATAAACATGTTGAAGAGATGGAACCATATTAGAAATAACACCAGTCGAACCAGCATTGGTCTTAATAGCTTTTATAATAGGACATGCATAATGGGTGAATCGATTATGCGCTCCATTAATACCATTGCTTCTAACCGTTTATTAAAACCGAGAAAATAATGAAGCCTTTACACATCTCACTTACTCGTAATGTTGTTGTGATACACGTGCGTATAAATCACCAACACTTGCACCGATGATGGAAACACGACGTCCTTCTGGGATAATATATGATGTTGATAGAGTTGATCGATTTTGGTGTTTAGTACCATCGAACATTTGAATAAGCATATTGACGTTTTCAGCAAAACGTGGATCATTGTATTGGTTACCATAAACACCTAAATTAGACAGGAGTGTATTGCACTCTGTCGAACACAATAAACGATTGCCATAGATCAAACTTCGATAGATATGAAGTGCTGTAGCCTTTGATAAAAAAAACACAAAAGAAATTACACAAAAAAAACATAGTTGACATGTAGCTTACGTTTGAAATGATGAATGGTTGTTCAAACGATAAATCATTGATGTTATTCGGATGCTGGATATATTCTTCATCAATATCCATCTGTGCCAAAGTTCGATCCAGAGCATCCATATGAGGTGTTAAAGCCGATGATTTGCCACTGCCTACAATGTTGCAGATATCTAACATTAAAGAAACAATATAACTTGAAATGAACAAACCTGACGTTCCTATTATATGTCCAAACATATTCGTACCATCAGGATTCCCATTATTAACATAGTGATAATAATATGAATTGTTATTAATAGCAGACAAATAATGTAATAATATATATAAATTAAGACCTTTGTCTACATTGTAATCTGCTGACCAAGAGATCAGAGTAGCTTTCTCAAACGAAGTTAATTGTAATAATTTGTTACATGGATCGAAAATTTCTTGATCGGAACACAAACGGGCGCGCGTTTGTGCATGCATCACCATAAAATCACGTAATGATGGCTTTTGTAAGCGTGATAACATATTTAAAAAAATTAAGTTAAAATAAAAATATACGCATAAATATGAAGATTTACAGATACCAAACCAAAATCAAATAAGTAGTATACAGGCTTAAAAACTAATACAATGTTGTAATTCGCACACGACAAATATCAACTTAATTATATACTCTAAAAAAATAAAATATTTAAGTTTCGATCTGAATCAACAAAATACGACATAAACAAAATGAAAGTTAGGTATGCCGTTCGAGCAGTACCTGTTTATAGTAAGACGCTTCAAGAGGAAGGGAGACAGTAAACGATAAAAAAATGAAAATAAATCACATATAATTAAATAAATGGAGACTGAATCTTTTGTTCGCGATAGTGGAAGATATATTGAATCATCGAGAGGTTATTCGAAGCATATACACGTCCACTGCCAACGATAGAGCGAATAAAACAAAAAGAAGTACTATATATGTGAACATATGCGCTACTCTTTCTTCACATACAATAGCGAATAAAACACGTATCAAGATTATCTGGGATAATAGACATATTTTATAACCTAAATATCTAATAGCCAGGCATGCCTCATTTAGATAAATCTTTAACCAGAAGAGAACATATGTACGAAGAAAAGGTGGAAAAAAATGCTCTGTACTGATTCAACCAATCTATATTCACAAAAACTCTAATGTAATAACAATACTCACAATAAATATAAGCAATCTATGAATTGTTAAACCTCCACTAACACAGCTCTCGTGTAATTTTCAATGAAACAGTATAACTAATAAGATCAAGATAACAGTTCCTACACAAAACAACTACTTTCTTACTAATCGCGAAAACACTATGCAAGGTGCTACTTCTATTAGCCAATTATCCAAAATGTTTCTATTAAAAAATCCTATCGTACAAAATACGAGTAAATATCTCAGTCTGTCGAAATTATATATTTTCTTTTTTCCATACTCACGATCTACTCCTTTAGTAAATATCACAACTAATTCAAATTTCACTACTGCTTTCCTTTCCTGATACGATCCAGTTCAGCATTTTCATTTCTAAATTTATGAGTTCTTGAAACATAATCTTTTGCTTTTTTTTTTGTATTTCAACATCGGTGTGCCTTTTTATTTATATATTTATAAACTATAATTTATGTAAAATTTTTCTTTTATTTTTGTATCCTCAGAATATGAAAGCGGCTTTTTTTTCTGAATTTTTCATTTATATTCCAACTCGAAGTAGGCATCTACTCTTAGCAGTATACTTTTTCATATAAAATAAAAGTTTAAAAACCGTACTGTAACTGTGAAGGTATTTTCCGGATGTGGATTAACTTCGGTTCTGGTCTGATTATTAGATGGCCAGGTCTGCTTGTAAAAAATCGCACATCCTCAGGACGCTAGTCTTCAGTTCATCGACAAATACCCAGAGAGAAAACTTATGGAAATAAATAAGCATACAGTATTTTAGAGTGAGTTTCGCTCTATCTTTTAAGGTGTTTTCCGATCTTATATATTGAAATCAGTTCAAGGAAATGTCGTCAAACGTTTTGAAAGCTATTACAAAAAAAACAAAAATGAAATGTTTCTTTGAAAAAAATTTTCTGTAGTCCGTTCGGAAGAAGTTGTGATCGGTACAAATTAGCGAGCTAAAAATTGTAATTTATAAGTTTGTAAATACCGGTTTTTGTTTTCACACTATAAAATAGAGAATAAGCTATAGAGAACAGAAAAAGACATTTAAGAATGCCTATAGGAATTGGGCAATAAATTTCGATTTTATTGAAAACACAGTATTCAAGAAAGTTCGAAATTCAAGTTTTTATTTTCGAATTAGAAAAGGTATATACCTATATTACGAAAGGAGACTATGGTTTTATACAAGAGTAACAACATAACTGCTGAGGAATTATTCTTACATATTTAATTAAATATGGAGAAGTTCTAGTGGAAATGTAATTATAGAAAATGAACTCATTTGTTATAAGAAAAATGTCTCAAAGTGAACAATCAATTTTGAATGCGAGAGAAAATATACGAGAGACATCATATAATTCAAAAACAAAAACAATGAGAAATATTGCAAATATTTTCAGAAAAAAATTATATTTACTATCTCTCATCAGTAATAAAAAATAATTTATTGCTTGTTTTCGTTATTATACGACGGACTAATATGAGATAGCTACACTTTATGTAACTCACATAATTCATGTAGCTGTTGGAGAAAAATGAATTCTCGACACCGTTGACTGACTTATACATGTGACTAAACATTGTTGCTATAGTCGTCATTATTTAAATGATATTTCAAAAAATAATGTTGACTTTTTCCTTTTTGTGAAATTTAAATTAATTGTTGTATAAAATTAGAATTAACTTTTAAAAATCACTAAAATTGTTGTTGGTCTTCCAATTCGTTCGAAAATTATGTTCAGAAAATCGGATTGAAATTTTACTTAGGGCAATCCAAAAGTAGTAGCGGAGGTGCTTTATTTTTGTATGAAAAGCTTGAATAAATTTTCTTCTTTTCATTTAGTGATAAAAAAAATGATGCTCTATTTTTCTATGCTATTCGATCACTCTTCAACGAACATCATAATAATAAAATTTCGATAAGAACTGCCTTTGTGTAAAACTCGCCTATAATATTAGATTATATTATTATCAATGTGTATTCTCTTTTTGTTTTTTTTCTTTATTTTTCTCTTTTCTTCTAATGGATGTCGTCCATACAGACATATATATTAAGACACCTGTCTTGTTTGTTTTGTGTGTATATAGATTATTCGTACATTTTCAAAAAAATCAAGTTAGGTTAAACTTTAACACTGTTCACCTGTCTCAAATGAATATGGAAAACGTTTGCTTCTACATTAAAGTACGTACCACACTTCACATTAAAGCAAGCCTTATTCATGATGAATTATATTCTGTTCACGATGATCCAACTCCTTCTTTCAGAACAGTTGAAAGATGGTCTAAATGATTTTATGAAGGTCGAGAAGAAGTAGAAGATGAAGCAAGACTTGGCAGGTTTGTTACTGTAACAACATCATAAAATATTGAACAGGTCCGCCTTCTTATCCATGATAACCCTTATATAACAATAGATAAGGTGGAAGAGTAATTTGGTCTAAGTTTCGGTGCCATCCAGCGAATCATCTTCGAACCGTTAAAGCTTACGAAAATGATCGTTCGTTATATGCCCAAGCATCTGATCGATTTTCAGCGGAGTGAACGAGTTCGAATATGTAAACAAAAGTTAGCAAAATTTGAAGAAGGAACATGTCGCTTATGTAATGTGGTGACAAATGACGAGTCTTGGTTTTATCATAAACAAATTGGTCGAAAGTCATCGAATGCTGCGTGGATGGCAAGAGAAGATCCTTCTTCTACTGTGGCTTCACGCAGTAAATCTGCTGCAAGAACCTTATTTTTCATTTTTTTAAAGTCAACTGGTCCTGTTCTGATTCATCACATGTGAAATGGAGATAAATTGTCGGCTACTAGTATTATATCAAGAATTGTTTACAACCTCTCGTCGACGAAATCAAAGATCAATGACCCTCATCTGTCACCCGTAGTATTAAACTTCACCACGATAATGGAAGACCACATATGCATAAAGGTGTGTCCAATTATTTGTAATCGGAAGATACCACAATAATACCACATCCATTTAAGTCTTCTGATCTGACATCGTGTGACTTTTGGTTATTTGATTTAATTAAACAGAATCTAAGCGATGAAAACGATGTCAAATCATTGTATGATGCTGTAACTGAGTTCAAGTACTCTTTGAATAAAGCCAAATATAGAAAAATCTTCAATGAATGGATTCAACAAATACGCTTGTGTGTGGATAACCAAAGTGATTATTTTGAACATTTGATTGAATAAAAGCTTGTTGAATCTGTTTCCGTATTTCTTTTCTGTTCTGCCACCATTAGTTTCTTATTACGCCCTAATAGGTATGGACGAGATTCACTGGAAGAGAAGAGAGAAAAAAATGAAAGAAAAGAGAGAGGAGGAACAAAGAAAAAAAACAAAAAAGAGAATACACATGGATAATAATATTATCTAATATTATAGGCGAGTTTTATACAAAGGCAGTTCTTATCGAAATTTTATTATTATGATGTTCGTTGAAGAGTGATCGAATAGCATAGAAAAATAGAGCATCATTTTTTTTATCACCAAATGAAAAGAAGAAAATTTATTCAAGCTTTTCATACCAGAATAGAGTACCTCCGCTACTACTTTTGGATTGTCCTCAGCATCATGATACAAAAGTAACGCTACACAAAGTTAATAGTAGTATTTAAGGACAGAAAAGTCCTTCTAAGGAGACTGTAGTTTCAAAAGAACATACATTTTCTCGTTGTATTCGTGCAAATTCTTGTGTGCTTACGGCTAAAATAATAGTGTAATGTGTCGATATTGTTTTATAAATGAAGGTAATTCATTGTGTTGTCGATATATACGTTTCGAAATATGTTTGGCTTTTACATGATTGCTCGTAAGCATTACTTACCTGAGTATGATATCACAATAAGATATATTTTTTTGTATGGAAAAAATAGTAGTGTCATTTTTCTTGTTCTGGTCTGCATCACTTGAAAAGCTTGATCAATGACAATAATGAGTCAATCGATTGTTCGAGAAAATATGCACGATGTCATGTATTTATTTTTTATTTCCTATTCGCTGTACAGAACACAAAAAACTATCAGCTTTCATTTGCGATACACTATTGCTGAATAGCTTAATTATGGTCGAACCCGCCTATGTCGTGAAAATTGTGATCAATCGTATCTAGTACAAAAATCAGCGATTAAATCAGATTTTACCGCGATTATTGTATAAGAAAAGATATTTCCTAAATCGACAATAAATTAGAGTGATAAATCGTTATTTAATCACTGATTTCGGTAATCAATTGTAAATTGTTAGTTAATTAAAGAAATATACTGAGATTTGTGAAACCCAGAGTGAAATATATTTTATATACAGTTTTCTA